GATCACTTGGCCACGGGCGCAGAGTGGCGTGTGACAGCGGCACGGTCTGGGCGGACGTGCTGTCTGCACAAGAGCAGAATGGCGTGTGACAGCGGCACGGTCTGGGCGGACGTGCTGTCTGCACGGAAGCGGAGTGGCGTGTGACAACGGCACGGTCTGGGCGGACGTGCCGTTTGCACGGGAGCGGAGTGACCTGTGACAACGGCACGGTCTGGGCGGACGTACCGTCTGCACAGGAGCAGAGTGGCCTGTGACAACGGCACGGTCTGCACGGAAGCATAGTGGCGTGTGACAACGGCACGGTCTGGTCGCACTCGCCGTTTGCAAACCATTTGAGCAGCCTGGAATTATCTTAACGCTTTCTAATTCGTGACGACGTCACGTATGTGATCACTGATCATGATCACAATAGTGACGTTAGTGATAGGGAAGCGGCCAGGGCTGCCGTTTTGAAACTACAGTCTTGACACCTGCCGCTGGGGCTACACCAGAGATGGGACCAGGTGAAGCGTACAGCCCTTTATCCTGATTCACTATTGCCAATACCTGCCGAAAGCATTGGTGGTTTCATGACACGTTGAGTATAGCCGCTAAAAATGAACAATTCATAGGATTTATTTCACCAACGGAAATGGCTGGGCCTGGGTGACACCAAACCAGAGACATCTGTCAAGTGAGGTGTTTTTGCATTTGTGCAAGGCGCTCCATCAGTGATCATGCCATAATCTGGGAAAAATCCCACCCAGCACGGATCAACAAGCGCCCTGTTTGTTTTTCTCCTGCGAAACGGCCTTGAAATACGTACATTTAGAGCGAGGGTTGAATCAATAACACCTCTATGATGGGCTTCCTGAGAGGCGGTCTGGCTTCGTTAAATTATGTGTGGCTTTGACTGGCATCCGGTGACAAATGTTCATCGTCCGTCAAAACCCTTACGCGCGTCGTCGTCGGGCGCCAAGAATGTTTCGTGTGGAAACGTAATGCTGAAAACGTCAGCCATGTGTACACGTATGGCTAATGTCTTTGTGGTTTAGGATTCTGACTTCGGGCTGCCCGAACAATTGAGAGGGCGTTCCATCCCATTAGGCCGCATATGGCGATCTTGTTATGCCAATATGTATGCATTTTTTCTGTTCTGTGTTGGTTTCTTCTTTTTTTGTTTTGTTCTGTTGTTGGTTTGCGTCCAATCTAAAGAATTACCTTTGAGATGGCGCGATTTCAGAAAACGAAGCACGTGCCAGAAGTCGTCTGCGCTTGAGGTGGGATTAAACGCTATGATTGAGACATTGTTGAACACTAGGTTTGACTCATGTGACCTGGTTCGCACTACAATTGAACCAAGGACATGTTTTGCGGTTTGACAGGGGATATCCAACGCTATTTGTTCTCAGTGTGAAACTAATGGTCCCATGCTAAGTGTGCGGAAAGGGAAAGGACCAGTACAGCGTGCATAGTGTGGCTTGAGACCACGACCTTATTTTCACGACACATGTACTGTGTACCGAAGGCCCTACAAGCGTGTGATGCAGGTTGAAGGTTGAAGTTGAAATAGATCCACCACCAGCATCATGCACTTTCAAGGCGTTTGTCGACGCTGCACTGGGATCAATTCCGGCTATTTCAATTTATATTTGGCCGCCGACGGCTGTGACACCTCGTTCGCTATAATGGCAAATGGAGGCGTTGAAACAAGCATCGGCATGATGAAACAAGTTTCCTTATGGCCGTGCTTGCTCTCAAGTGAGAAATACTGCTCAGGAGAGCACCTGCTTCTATGCCCATAGAAATATGCTTCTGAATACATCGTTCTTCGATGCGTCACAGGTCACTGCAACCTTGCACGACATTAATTGAGAGCCAATGGACGGCCGTCATATCTGGAAATCGTGCTCACGAACGCCAAACATGAACGACTCGACAGTTGTGTCTTTCTTGGCCTTGGTCGCCGCATGGTAAATGAAATGGCAGGATTTCAATAACGTTGTTATGGCGTTATGGGTGCCTGAGTGATCTTGAATTAGTCTACACGAAATAGTCTGCACATCTTCGCGGGTGTATAGCGCAGGAATAAAAGGGATTCAGGTCTAAACAAGGGCGGGACTGAATTGCACCGAATGATATTCATGATGGCTGCTTCAGTTCAAAGCTCTATACCAGTGTGGAACACTCGTCCGGTCAGACAGCACGTATTTCTGATATGTGATGCGGGACTGTGGGACAAGCCTTATCCTCGCCTCACAAAATGGCGTCAGGGCTCCAACACCGGGTGTTACCGACTTTGACCAGTGACACCCTGTGTAGTATCGGCTCGCCACGCAGAAACGGTGGAGCAAGGGGAAAATACAGTCACAGTTACAGTTAGTGCAGCTGCTCGTAATTTTCCGGTTTGTTTAAACTTGGACTGCCAGCAACTGCGCGACATCATAAGTAACTAAAATGGTCCGGCCCGTAGGTTCGATTTCTGCTCTTTGGAAATGCGGTTGTGCTGAAGATCACATCTACCTAGCGACATTGCTCAACAGCATAACGTAAGCGTGCTGTTATGTGAAAAGTAAATTATCAGAATGTCACTTAGACACCCCCGTTGCTGTGACTGCAGACTGCGTTAGCACGATACTTGCCATTATAACTAGATTGTTACAGACTGAACGGTAAGCAACCAGCCACTTTTCTATTATAGGAGTGCAGGCATCTAAGGAGCACGTCTTTATCTGGGAGCGATTATATCATTTTCGGGCTTTGTCTTGCGTAGACTTCTCCGCTACTGGACTTTGCGCGCACACCGAACCAATATTCAACCACTATGCAATGCCCAACCGTATTGCATAGCGGACCCCGCATCGACATAGCTGGGTTTCTGAATTAATCGCCGTCTAATTGTAGATGAGAGAAATATCAACGCAATATTTTGCCCATCGCCACTTACGATATCACATAAAATTTCACATAAACTATTACGAAAAATAGCACAGTTGATGTAGTTTAGGTATTCGCCTGGATTCGATCATTAGTTTCGTCGATATTTTGGAACATTGGTTTTCGGTTCATCATCTGATCTGTTAGGAGCGGTACTATGTCATATTGAACTGCAACTTATCGCAGCCTTGTTCTGGCTTAT